TATTATTATAATTTATAATTATGAGTTTGCCAAAGTTTGAGAACACTTCACGGACGAGGGGCGCGGAAACTTGGCAGACTTTGAACTCAACATAATAACCCAATATCTGCCGCACGATAATCGAATGGCAAATACGAGAAAATGCGTGGGAATAACCGCATTCGAATGGTGAATCGTCGATAACAACGCGTTTTCTCAACGCAAACAGCCACAAACTCTAGAAAACATCGTATTTCATTATGTTGGTCGGCCTGTGAACGTTGGACGACACGTGATTTTCAAGCGTTATCTACGCATTTACTGTCCTTGAAAATGGAAGAAAATGCGTTGCATTCGACGTAAAACTCCTGTGAAAACAATGTTTTGTTACTGGAAAACACCAATAAACAACAAAATACAAACCGTTTTCCCGTCTCTTAACCGCGCTCTCAACACCAGGAAAACAGTTGTTTTCGTAGAGTTAACTGTGAAGGAAAACTGCTCGATAATGGAACGAATACTCCAATTCGCCGACTCGACAACAACGGGAAAACTTTGGATTTTCTTTTTCGGAAAATATCAGAAAATGCGAGAATAATGCCGCGTTTTCAAATAGTTACAACTTGTTTTCCGAACGGGTGAACACCCTTTTTTTTTGCAGTGTTCTCAGTTTAAGTATTAACAATACTCTAAGCTTATATCGTATTGATATAACATTTTGATCGGTTCACGATGTTTGGTAAACAGAACAAAAGTTTTCTCTCAAGACTAGACTGGGTGATTTGAAAACCCTTTGCGTGTTTCATTAGCCTTCAGAGTGAGTTATCAAGCCTCTATACCCCTAAAGAGTGCAGTTCATTTCCTTTATTTAATAACTATTGGTTAATCGATACAATGGAAGCTAAAAAACGCCAAGACGAAAACGCCATTAACAGACACGAGGCCGATTGACTCATACAACATGCTTATAACGGAGGTATCACCCATTAGTTTCTCGCAGCGAGGAGTGCGAAAACTTCCCCAAGGAGCTAATTTTCTTTTCTAGACCACGTGGCAGAAGTGATCAATGATAACCATCATGCTTCTTTATTCTTCTTTCATGCTGTTAATTATTCCAAGAGAATTATTCCAAGAGTAGCCATGGATTATAAACCGTCCAAGTCGGCTTGCAGTACTCGAAACATAACAGCTCAGCCAAAATACACCGGCACTAGTAACAAATACGAATATCCCCGATGAGTAAATTTCTGAACGGAAATCTTTGAAATTACTTTCAGAACAATTCCAACAAGCCGAGCAAAAGTAACGGTTCGAAGTTTACCTTCCTTGTTTTGTTTGACGTAAGCTGGAGATATACAGAAAAAGTCGCGACGAAAGCCAGAATGTCGCTGATACACTGTTACGCCTCGTGTGAAATTGAACGTAATGTGACCAAACACCTCTATCAGTGTTCTTCTGCTCATAATTCACCCGTCAAATGACCGACTTTAAGTGAAGAGTTTAAAATTTAGATACAAACTGCAATCTTTCCTAAAATGTGCTATCTTTTAGTTAAATTTATACCTGGAAAGTGAAAGTACATCCATAATGAAAGTATAAGGAAGCGAAGTCCTGTCATTATCAAAGGATATTTTGACGTAGGGTCTTAATAGGCTCTGTGAATTGTAAAAAATGCTAGCAGAGGAGAAACAATACTATGGCCATCTGCATGTTAGCGAATGTATTGACTATTCCACTTGTTTACTGAATATTGAAGAAAAAAAAACGTTAACGATCAATATCATTAATTTATACATTTCTATCGTTTGATTTTTAAACAAATCCTTATAAAGAGGTAGTCAGACTTTAAAATCAGTAATAGCCTCATTGCCATATCAGGCATGACGTAATATATTGTTTTCGCTGAGGTTTAGCCCACTGTTCTTTAATATCCATTACTGATTGTAGCTTTGTAAGTCCAAAATACCACACCTTATTGAACAAATGAAGAACCTAGGAATCAGTTCTACATCAGTTTTAGGCTGAGAAGGTTGTTCTTAAGGCAAGCACTTCTTCAATGACTTCAAAATACCTTCCCTAAGAATTAGTCTCGTAAAATATCTCTTCGAATTCTTTCATCATCACGGGACTTAAAATTGAAACGGTTAGAAAGTTTTTGCCAAATAGGCTCGAAAGCCAAATGATATCAAATGACCGTGACTCTTTTGCATTGACATATTCGCTCAATCAGTGTTAAGGATATCGAACAAAAGAACAGTTTTTTGATTAGATCAATTATCAATTACTTTGTGTGCCTAGTTACGATCGTAGTTACAATGTTTATCTTTTTCCTATTGGTTTGTAATCGGATCTTTTAGCGTCACCACGCGCATATAAAAGCTAAGTTAGCGTCCCTTTAAGCCAGAGTTTCGCAAGATTTCGCCTTGAATAGCAGTACCTTCGTTCTTTTGTTCTAAACCTTTTGCACAAGCGGGACCGATATTTAAGCAATTTTGTTAGTTTTATTTCAATGTGTTTAAGTTTAGTTTTTCACCTTGGGCGATAGCGCACATATGTACTGTGTTGTACAATAGTACAACTAATTATCTTGAAATCAAAAGAGTAATTTGAAAGAACTAGACGCTCAGACAGCAACACCCACATTTTAGTCTTTGGGCTTTTGATCAGCCGCAAATGTTCATCGTGCAGCCGATCTTTGAATCTCGAGTAGTTTTAATTTAGCCTTTTATGATTTGTTTATGCTAATTTACGTTAACTGTTGTTATTTTAATCGCGTTATCGACATAGGCACGTAAAGCGTTTCTTTCATGCCTTTCGTACCAATTCAAGTAGATTCATGCATTCGTTATAATATTATTGTAATTTCAGTTTACGATCGTGATCGTCTTTGTGATCGTCTTCGTCCTGAATAAACACCGTTAACCGTCATCTTGGTTTTCGTGGTTTTACTACGACCTGTAAAATAGTCCCGACATCAGCGACACTTAGCAAACACGCCTTAGCGACACCCCTCGAAGCTTCGTCTTTCGTCGCAAGCGTCACAATCAGTGTTGGATATCGATGCACAATACTCCTGAAATCAGGAAGAAAATAAAATATTTTACTCGACATATTACCAAAGAGTGCGATCATCATTGAAAAAAACTTATGGCAGCTTATCTAGAAATAATAAATGGATATTGGGAGGCTACAGTTTAAGTTGGCCGATCGTTGTTATTTTGACTTACTTCGTAAATGTTTACTGAACATCACTGAAGCAATGAAATCTAGAAACTTCAGTTTCTTGTTTCCCTGAAATGCAACGGAAGCTTTTCACTCTTCCCGCAAGATTCCAGCAACAATTCTCCTAACTTTCTGCTATTTACTTTATCAAGCTTTCAGCTCTGACAATTTTTTGTTGAATCAAACAAGTTCCTTTTTTAATATTCTTCAAATTATTGACCGGAAGGTTATTTTTGATACGGCCTTTGCGCCAACAACCCACACAAAACAATCAAGTGCTCATTTGGCAAATACTGTCGAGCCGTTTCAATTATCGTGGACAAATGGAAAACAATTTGCATAAGTAGGTGCCGTGCAACGATGAATTGAAGTTTCGTCATACACGACAATTATCTCTTTGCCAAAGAAATCAGTATTTTTCGAGACTGACTGTTACAGAAGAGGTCTTTGGTGAAATGTTTGCCTTTAAGAACAAAGTTCTTCACTTAAAATTGGCGTAGAAGTGATTGATATTCTATGTGTTCAATGAGGTGTAGTAATTTACTTTCAGGGCGACACTCAATCAGTGAGATTAAAGAACAATGCGCTTAAAATCAGACAAAACAAAAGAACACTTCCGCCTGATACAATACCGAGTACAATGTCCATTCCTAAAATTAAATCTGACAATCTTTAGAAAAACATCAGTATTTATTACGGACTAATCGTTAACTGTCTGCTATTTACTTCATTCAAGCTTTCAGCTCTGACAATTTTTTGCCGGTTGAATCAAACAAGTTCCTTCTTTAATATTATTCAAATTATTTACCGAAAGCTTAATTTCGATACGGTGTTTGCGCTTCAACCCACACAAAAGAATTAAGAGCTCATCTGACAAATTCTGTCGAGCCGTTTCAATCATCGTGGACAAATGGAAAACAATTTGCGTACATAAGCACCGTGCAAAGACAAAGTGCCAAAGAAATCAGTATTTTTCGAGACTGATTGTTACAGAAGAGGTCCTGGCTGAAATGTTTGCCTTAACGAACAAGTTCTTAAATTAAAATTGGCGAAGAAGTGATTGATATTCTCAGTGTTCAATAAGGTGCAGTTATTTACTTTCATGGATATTAAAGAAAAATGCGCCTAATATCAGACAAATAAAAAGAATACCTCCCGCCTGTACCAAGTGCATGGTCCATTGGTGAAATTACATCTGACAATCTCTAGAAAAACATCAGATTTTATTACTGACTAATCGTTGGCATCTTGTCACTTGAATTTTCACGCTGTACAGTATAGTGGTGGATTCTTCTGGTCGACACTTGGCCTGTCTCCGTGTAATGCAAATGAGGCATTTACACCAGATCCTTGACAGAGCTGGATGATTTTTGCTTCGTTAGCACTTTCACTTTCAAAACATCACACTAAAAAGAACTGGAGCTTATTCATAACATGTTTATTAGATGTCAACGAGCTGAAGTATTCACTCCGACTACCTCTTTGTAGGGATTTGTTTAAAATTCAATTAATTATAATTGAATTATATTTATTTATATTTATATATATATTAATTATAATTAATAATGTTGATCGTCAACATCTCTTTTACTCAAATTTTCATTGAACAAGTGGAGTAGTGAATATATCCGCTAACTTGCAGATTGTTCCTGCTTTGTTAGCACTTTCACTTTCACAAGTGGAGTAGTCAATACTTTCCCTAACATGCTGATTGTTTCTGCTTTGTTGGCACTTTCACTTTCAAAACATCGTAATAAAAAACCCGGAGCTTATTCAAAACACGTTCATTAGGTATCGAAGATCTCTAGTGTTCACTCGAAGACTTTATAGCGCGGATCATGAACGACAGTTTGCTGATTGAAGTTTTTGCCCGTGTTTTATTCAGCTTCACACGCGGCGTGAAAGAGCATTACGACCCTGATGAGCCTGAAGTGGAGATCTTAGGATATAACGATAGCCTAAGCTGTGAGGGTCGAGAGTGGAACTGTCGGCCCGTTGATAAACCTATTTATCGGGAATATTCACCGCCATCGGACGACGAATATTATCTCTCGTTAGTTGGTAATTCTCGAGTTAGATATCGGGTCACCAATACGATCTCACCAGATGAAGATGGAGACGAACAGCAAAATGAAGATGACGAAATGGCTTGGAAGCGATTCAGACCATCCGTTCTTCGTACAGTTTGTCAATCAATGTACATCGGCACATCAATTTCACTTCTATCCGCTGTCATCCTCGGCCTTTTTTACATCATGATCGGTTACGTCTCTTACGAAACGACACGCAACTGCCAATTCCACACAAAAGAGACAATCCCAGTCAAAATGCAGTGGATCAGAACATTGTCTGACGTCATAGGTGTTGCCTTTCTTTACATGTGGTTCTTTGTAGAAATGGTTTTTCTTTTTCGACCGCATCAGTTAAAGGGCCTGAAAAGAAAACTCGTTCTTGTTGCTTTTGTCTTTTTCTGTGCGGATACAGTGTATCGTATTGTCCTTCAAGTCTTTGGAATATATCATTCCCAGCTTTCTGTGATTCAGAAGATTCCTCTCGAAGTTCTATTTATAATTAGCATATGTTGCCAAGTTTATCCTCTGACAAATCACTTCCGGAACCTGTCGAGCAGAGCGAGTTTATTTATAAAATTGACAACACCGATTTGCTTCCCTTTTTTTATTGTCATCTCAACAGCATCGTATATTTATCCATTGTATAACGAACAAACTGAACATGGAAAACTACTTATTGCACTCTTCTCACCTCTCTTTCCAGTTATCTTTAAGGTAGTCTTACGACTTTGCACTCAACGCTTGAAGAAAATTACTCATCCAGGATACTCGTACGTCTTGTTAGTGCCGTTGTATTTTATATCAGCGATCATGTTTCGAGTAATGCAGGCACAACTTGAAAACCTCAAATTCATCGCTGTTCTTGGAATAATCCACGGCGTAGTAGAAGTCCTGGAACGAAGCACCATGGTCTTCATTGATCATATTTGTCATGTGATCTTAAAAGGAAAATCTGCTCCTTGGGGAAGTTTTCGCACTCCTCGCCGTGAGAGACTAATGGCTGACATTGCCATTTTAAGCATGTTATGTGAATCAACTGCTATTGTGTCTGTTAATGGATTGTTGTACTTATACCAATCTATTTACTTCCAAAACATTTCCTTGTTGAAGCTGCTTCAGGAACTTGCAATTCGTATCTCAGTTCCGCTGATTATTGAATGGTTTTTCACTGGCGTATCCTTGGCCATCGAGACTCGCTTTCAGAATATAGCAGTTATGACCATTTGGCGCAAAAGATGGAAAAGACACATATTGGTTGCGATAACTAACCTGGTTCCCTTAGCTATTTGGACGACAGCAAATTTCTGGGAATTTGTGGATGGGCGCTTTGATGAGTCTAAAGATCACCCTTGCAAAATGCCCTTCACATAGAGAACTTTTAAAAACTAAATGCCGGCAGTCTTTCAGCCTTCCTTGTGTCAATAGACTTGTGGTGGTGCTTGAGATTGATGACATGTTACACTTACCTGTTATTATTATCCAACTGCACAAAGTAGAGTTCAAATATCCTGCGGTATTTTTCGGTTATTTGGACAGTTAGTTATTCGGTACTGTAAAAAAACCAGTCGGTTGCGTGCGCTACGCTTTGCTTTTCCTGCCTTATGAGAAATGAGCAGAAAGACCTTGCAGAAAAAAAAGCAGTGGGATAAAAAATAACTTGTTGGAAGTTTTGGTGTATAAGATCGCTGAGCATTTTTACTCGTTGTACTTTTGTTTTATTCGTCAGCGATACTACACACCAAAACTTCTATTAAGATAAGCACGAGCAAATTTTTAAAAGACAACAAAATTTACAATTTACTTATTACATCAAATTGCAAATGAAATCATGTTATTTCTTGTTAATAATTTACGAGAAAAAACATCACAGAAAGTCAAGACACACGGAATTTTCAAAGCGTGCGGACGCTCTTTGTAATGTGCACTCGTTTTATAAGGATCTTACCATGAAGCTTTCAATAACATCACCTTTCTTGTCGGTTTAAAAAAATGCCTCATATCTCCTTTAATATGGACATACCGTGTTGAGGTACGTTTATAATTCTAAACTTTTCAAGACAGTGTATTTGGACTGTACTGTTTCTAAGTGAAATAATTTACTGTCCAGCAGTCACGCACTCAATAAGATGATTGGTAGATTGGAAAAAGGTTTTTTAATATTGTGGAAATCAAGAAGTGCCAAGGAAAAGTGTCTTCCCTGGCAGATTGTTTCAAAAACTGTATAATAAAACAATTACTTAATCAATTTTTTACATAATATTAAGGACGTGAAAATGTTTGGCTCTCGGTTCTGATCTCGAGTCAAATATTTCCTTGTCTGGCTCTTCCACTCAGTCATTAAATAAATAACATTGGAAGATGAGACATTATAGTCAATATTGCAACCTCGTTTCTTAACCCTCACCCCACCCCTCAGGATGGAGAATGGGACGCTTCAGTTGCGCCCCAGCAGTTGTACCTAAAGGGCACAAGTTTACCAACACTGCATCTAATTAAGTCTGGCGAATAGTTTAAAACTTCAGAATAGATTGGTTTAAGTCTAATTTTAGCGGAATATTGAAAGTCACTATTACTGATAGTGAATCGTAGTAAAAATTATTTTCAATCTTAAAACTCTGAAGGGTTGAATTCGTGCTTGAGTGCATCAGAAATTATACTCAAGTGTGGAGTTCAGTGGATTGATTTCAAGAGTCCCGTGAGAGTTAACTGAACTTACTTTGCAAAAACTCGTTCTGTAACTATGGAATTCTATACTCAACAAAATTAAAACAACTAAGAACTGATTTTTATATATGATCCACCTCAGGTGGTAAACAGACATTATGTTTCACTCATTTTTGTGCAAAGTTTGTTCTTGTCATTTTGTAGTTTCATTTCATTAACCGTAATGAAGCAGATTCTATTTGTCAGCTAAGGGTTAGACATACAGTTTTGTAGGTATTGTTGTAAGAGTGTAGTTTTTTTGCTGATGATTTTTTTTTGTTGTTAAATATTAGATATCGAGGATTTCTGTGTTGTGAATATTTTGTAAAAATTGTTTAATTAAGAACTGATGTAAATAAGCGAATACTACTTTGGTTAATTGGTAATAAAAAGGCTTGAAAAAAAATTCATGTAAAAGCTTTTATTACTTGCGTCATATAAGGGAGGAAATTATAAGGGTGGATGGTCTGAGCTGCTTTCGAGCCATTACTCGATCTTCATCTGATAAGCCGCCTAACGTCTCCTCATTTTCCTCTGGTATGCATGCATCATTAAGTCTCACATTAAGACTTGATGAAGGAAGATAAGAAAAAGCTGTATCCCTTCTGTCGCTGTATTTTTGAAATGTAAACTCATCTACAAGATGATAATACCATTCTCGACCGGTGCTTTCCAAAGGATCGTAGCCAAACGACTCTGGTGTAAATTCAGGTTCTTCTGGATTGTAATGCTCTGACACACCTCGAGTAAAACTGAACACAATGCGACCAAACACCTCTATTAGTGTATTGCTATTCATTGTGCACCCGTCAAATTACCGACTTGAACTGCACAGGTTAAAATTTAGATACAAAATGCAATCTTTCCTAACAGCTGCTATCTTTTAGGTAGATATACACCTGGAAAATGAAAGTACATCCATAAAGAAAGTGCTTACGTGGCAAACTCCACCCTGAGTTAATTTTGATATACTCAGCGTTTTCAACGAATTCAATACAGGTCATATCCATTTTTGCTGCCTTTTATGCTCAGTCGAGTGAGAAGGGAAAAATGAATAAAGGGTAAGTTTCTAAAGAAACTGTGGTGCTGCGTTGGTGGGAGAGTATAGCAGGTAATTTAGTGTTAACAACTGGATTGAAAACGTAAATTAGCCACCGTATAGGGTAAAGAAGCTGACGTTTCGAGCGTTAGCCCTTCGCAATCGCTCTGACGAAGGGCTAGCGCTCGAAACGTCAGCTTCTTTACCCTTTACGGTGGCTAATTTACGTTTTCAACCCAGTTGTTAACACTAAATTACCTGAGAAGGGAAAAGTTTTGAGACGATGGCCACTTTGCTTTTTTAATCCTAACAGTCTAAGGGTGGCTGAAAGTGGTTTCGGACGTTCTAAACCTGTCAAATTATAACCAAACGAAGAAAAAGCCACACACTGCATAGCGACAAATAGCCTGTGAGTGATATAGCGCTTAGAATTATATGAAGGTGCACACTTGCATACACAGGAAACATGAAATGTATCCAGCGAGGATGGCACCAACGCAGACTTTCTCTGATCCTTTGAAAATGAAAGCAGGAACACAGTTTTTGTTAATGCAAAAGAACAAAACGGACGAGAATCATTTTGCTTACGTTGTTAAACACGTGGTCAATTTTTAAAAGCCATTTGGACCACTTCGCTTGGAAGCACAGCTCATGACACGAAACAAATCATGAAAGAAATAACTAAATGTTTTTGTCTATAATTGAATAGTATGGCGGTCTGTATTTAAAGTCTGAATTTTGATGAACACAAGCAGGTTTAGCAACTATGACAGTAACTCTTGGAAAAATAACTAGTGAAAAAAACATTTATCCATTCATTTCTGAATATTTCTGCATCTCTGAATTCTCAGGAGCTGGATACTAGCGCCAGCCTTCCTATACATGTATGAAAAACAGAAGAAGAAACTATCACGCTACTTATTAAACTCTACCAGGTTCTACGGATCATAGCAAACCGTATTGATGAGTAAAACTGACAGCCTCTGGAGCCAACAGAAGCTCGTAAAGAAGAAATTGACCGAAAGCTCATTTTCGATTCGGGTTTTTTGCTTAAGGGTTTTTCTGCTTAATAGTTACACAAAAGAACTGAATGCTCATTGAGTCAAGGTATCGAGCTGTTTAATTGCCGTGGAAAATTAGAAAACTATTACCAAACAAATGAAGTCCTGTCATCGTGAAAGCATCTGAAAGGATGTTTCAAAATAAGTGGTTAAAGATGATCGCGTAAGTTTCGAAAATACTGTCAACTTACTCTACGTATAAATTCACATCCAGCTAATCTCTGATGTCTCGCATCCGTAGTACACGATTTTATCTACATACAACGCACTCCAAATACACTTTATTGAAAAGTTTAGAATGATAAATTTACGAAAATTCTGGTATCTATATGCATACCAGAATTAAGTATTAGGACCTGCCATTTTTTTTTTTATTACAAAGAAAAGTGCGTGCATGAGCGAACGCCGTGTAAACGGAAAACAATGGTGTCCTTGCAATCTCTTTTTTTTTTTATCGTGCCAAGTACCTCGCAGGCTCGCCCATAGGAGTTTGCTCGTCGCCTGTCGTAAATATACTTTGGATTAAGAAAAGACTGAAAGACTGCTTGCGTTCCACAAGCTGAGCGGGTCTATTTTGTTCTCCTCGTTGCCACGCTTCGGTAAATGCAACATGTCAAGACTCTTGAGCAATACACGCCCATAAACCCAAGAAGGCTAAAAGACTGCCAACATTTAGGTTTTAGAAGTTCTAGTGCATTTCGCACGGATGACTTTTACACTCATCAAAGCGTCCATGTCCAACTTCCAAAATATTTGCAACCAAAATGTATCTTTTTCATCTTTTGCGCCAAGCAGCCATAACTGCTATATTCTGAAAGCAAGTCTCGATGGCCAAGGATACGCCTGTAAAAAACCATTCAATAACCAGCGGAACTGAGGTATAAACTGTAAATTCGTGAAGCAGCTTCAACAATGAGGCGTTTTGAAAGTAGATGAATTGGTATAAGTACAACAATCCTTTAACAGACACAATTGCAGTTGATTCACATAACATGCTTAAAATGCCAATATCAGCCATTAGTCTCTCACGGCGAGGAGTGCGAAAACTTCCCCAGGGGGCTGATCTTATTTTCAAGATTACATGACAAAATGAAGACCATGGTGCTGATGGTGCTGCGTACTAGGTCTTCTACAGCGATGAGTTTGAGGTTATCAACTTCTGCCTGCATTACTCGAAACATGGTCGCTGATCCAAAATACAACGGCACTAACAAGATGTGCTAGTATCCTGGATGAGTAATTTTCTTCAAGCGTTGAGTGCAAAGTCGTAAGATTACCTTAAAGATAATTGCAAAGATAACTACAAAGAGAGGTGAGAAGAGTGCGAAAAGTAGTTTTCCATGTTCAGTTTGTTTGTTATACAATGGATAAATAAACGATGATGTAAAGATGACAATAAAAAAAGGGAAGCAAATCGGTGTTGTCAATTTTATAAATGAACTCGCTCTGCTTGACAGGTTCCGGAACTGATTTGTTAGAAGATAAACTTGGCAACATATGCTAATTATTAATTATTAATTAATTAGAAATAGAATGTTGAGAGGAATCTACTGAGTCACAGAAAGCTGGGAATGAGATATTCCGAAGACTTGAAGGACAACACGATACACTGTATCCGCACAGAAAAAGACAAAAGCAACAAGAACGAGTTTTCTTTTCAGGCCCTTTAACTGATGCATTCGAAAAAGAAAAACCATTTCTACAAAGAACCACATGTAAAGAAAGGCAACACCTATGACGTCAGACCATGTTCTGATCCACTGTATTCTGACTGGGATTGTCTCCTTCGGGTGAAATTGCCAGTTCCGCATCGGTTCGGACGAGATGTAAGAGATCATGATGTAAAAAAGGCTGAGGATGACAGCGGATAGAAGTGAAATCAATATGCCGATGCACATTGATTGACAAACTGTCCGAAGAACGGACGGTCTGAATCGCTTCCAAGCCATTTCATCATCCTCATCTTGCTGTTCGTCTTCATCTTCATCTGGTGAGATCGTATTGGTGACCCGATATCTAACTCGAGAATTACCGACTGTCAAGAGAACATCATCGTCGTCCGATGGCGGTGAATATTCCTGATAAATAGGTTTATAGACGGGCTAACTATTCCATTCTCGACCCTCATTGCTTTAGCTATCGTTATATCCAAAGGTTTCCACTTTAGCCTCAGCTGGGTCGTAATGCTCTGTCGCGCCGCGTGAAGCTGAATAAAACACGGGCAAAAACAGACAGAAATTGAGGTACATTTGTATTTCTAAATTTTTCAAGACAGTGTATTTGGAGTGTACCGTTTCTAAGTGAAACAATTTACTGTGCAGCAGTCACGCACTGAACAAGATGATTTGTAGATAGAGGAAACTCCAGAATTTAAGAATCTCGTGATATTCTTAAAAGTAATCTACTAAACTTCACACTTGAATATAATTTCTGATGCACTCATGCAAGAATATAACGCAGTGAACCAAACCCCTGCTTCAGAGCTTTAAGATCGAAAAGAATTTTTATTACGATTCGCTATCAGTAATAGTGACCTTAATTATTCCGGCAAAAATAGACTTAATCCAATTTATTCTAAAGTTCCAAACTATTCACCAGAGTAAGTTAGATGCAGTATTGGTAAACCTTTGCCCTTTAAGTACAACTGCTGATGCGCAACTGAAACGTCCCCTACTTTATTCTGAGGGGTGGGGTGAGGGTTAAGAAACGAGGTTGCACTATTTACTATAATGTCTCATCTCCCATTTACACTTAACAAAATTCAAGCAACTAAGAACTGATTTACTCTTCTCAGTTTAAGAATTAACAATACCCCGGGCTTATATCGCACTGATATAACATTTCGATCGGTTCTCGATGTACGGTAAACGGAACAAAAGTTATCTCTAGAGACTGGGCTGAGTGATTTGAAAACTCTTTGCGTCTTTCATTAGCCTTTAAAGTGAGTTATATATAGAGAGTTATAGAGTTATCAAGCCTCTGTACCCCTAGAAAGTGCAGTTCATACCTTTATTTAATAGCTATTGGTTAATCGATACAATATTAGTTATTATTAAACATTATGTGTGTGGTACCTCAGTCATTTTATTCAAAGAAATAACAAACACTTGTACAATTCTTTAAAAGAATAAGAGTCATGTCTCGAGATAAATTGCGTGAACCTTTCCATTTTACACCCAATTTGAGCTCGTAGTTATCAAATCGACACAAATATTACTTAAAGACGAAGGGAACTCTGATTTAGTCAACATTCCGCAACTATTGCGCACTCTCAAGAAAACGGCATTTTGCAAGGATGGTTAGTTTCACTGAACCGTCCGTGTAAAATCTCTATGATATACCCGCTGGACCACAATGCTAAGGGAACTGCATTAACAATTGCTACAAGTATATGTCTTTTCCATCTTTTCCGCCAAACAGCCATGACAGCCATGTTCTGATAATGAGTTTCTAACGCAAGAGATACGCTGGTGAAAAACCACTCAATCACGAGTAAAATTGATGTTTGGATGGCAAACGATTTAAACAAATTTGCAAAGGATTCGTTTTCCACGTAAACAAGTTGATACAAGAAGAAAACGCCATTAACAGACACGATACCAATTGACTCGTACAACATGCTCATAATGGCAATATCAGCCATTAGTCTCTCACGGCGAGGAGTGCGAAAACTTCCCCAAGGAGCTGATTTTCTTTTCCAAACCACGTGGCAGAAGTGATCAATGATAACCATCACGCTTCTTTCGAGTACTTCTGCAACGCCGTGAATTATTCCAAGAGTAGCCATGGATTGTAAACTGTCTAAGTCGACTTGCAATACTCGAAACAGAACAGCTGAGCCAAAATACACCGGCGTCAGTAACACATAGGAATATCCCGGATGTGTAAATTTCCACAACCGCTGAACGGAAATCCTTGAAATTACTTTCAGAACAACTCCAACAAGCGGAGCGAAAATAGCGATCAGAAGTTTACCTTCTTTGTTTTGTTTGACGTAAACTGGGTATACAGAATTAGCTGCGAGAAAAGTAAGAATATCGCTAAAACAGGTCGGTAGAATCATTTGAAAGAAAAATGTTGCCCGTTGTCTTCTCGAGCGTCCACTCAAAAAATGCTTCATTAAAAGATAAACTTGCACGCATATGCTCATAAGAAATAAAAGACAAGGAGGGATCTTTTGCTTTGTGAAAGCCTTTGAAAGATTTATTTGTAACGCTTGAAGAGCAACACGATAAAGTGTGTCTAAGCCATACAATAGAAAAGTTGTTAGGACAAGCTTTCTCTTCACCCCGATCAGCTGAAATGGGCGAAATAACAAAACCATACATACGAAGAACCACATGTATAGAAAGGCACAGGAGAGGATACCAGATATTGAACTGATCCATTGAACTTGTACTGGAATTGACTCTCTAGAGTGAAACTGACAGCTGAGTTCAGTCTTATACGACAGATAAATGACGGACATGAATAGAAAGCCTACAACGGTAGACGTTATCAGTGAAATCAGTGCTCCAATATACATTGCTTTCCCCACTGTGAAAAAAGCAGATGGTCTGAGCTGCTTCCAAGCCATTGATTGATCTTTATCTTGTTGGCCGCCTAAAGTCTCTTCATTTTCCTCTGGTGCGCACGCGTCTATACATCTCACATTAAGACTTGATGGTGGAAGATAAAAAAAAGCTGTGTCCGTTCTATCGCTGTATTCTTGAAATATAAACTCGTCTACAGGATGATAATACCATTCTCGACCTGTGCTTTCCAATGGATCGTAGCCAAAGGATTCCGCTGTAAATTCAGGTTCTTCAGGATTGTAATGCTCTGTTACGCCTCGTGTGAAACTATACACGATGTGACCAAAAACTTCTATCAATGTATTGCTACTCATTTTGGAATGATTTACTTTTACAACGAACTTTGAGATACAACAGGAAGGTTTCAACAGACTTTCGATTTCAATTTCAACATTCATATTTTCTCGATTATTTTCCAATTCTAATTGATCTTTCTAATGTGTATAATGTCATTCCTAAAAGTTGGACGTAGATGCGCATGAATATGGAAACTTTCGATGATGCTTTGGACTTTCGATATTTTCTCAAATTTTTTCTCGGGAGTAAATATTCGGTATCGTGGGCGACATATCCTTGATCACTGACTTAATATCAGAACATGCACATAAACTATGTCGAATAGCGATTGATATACAAATTAAAGTAAAAAAGTTTACCCAGTTTTCATCTCAATGCGCAGTCTTTGCAGACAACTCGTACATGTTGTTACACTACAAAGGAAAACCACTGAAATTCATTCAACTCATTATTCTCAGTTATTTTTAGCAGAAAAGGAAATATCTATATTTGAACGGATGCTTTTACACTAATAAAGCTGAAGGGAATTCTTCAACATTAGCTTAATTCTCGACGAAGAGATCAAGGTTCGTTTGAAATCATATTCTTAATGATTAGACTGCAATTACAATAAAATAAGATCTTCGTAACCCAGACGATAGCCATAAATTTTCAGGCTCATTTGAAACTGAAAGTTAGTTGATAAAGATTGCATTCTTCGCGAGCTAATTCATCTCACGGCGGGGGCTGAAGCAGACCATCCAAGATTCTTCTCAGATATAATACGTATGTCAGGACAACTGATTATATCGATCAAATTTACTTTGATGTTCACATAATTCCATGATCTCAAAAGCCTTTCTAAACATACCCTGTACGGAAAAAAGTTGTAATATAAAGAGATTAGCCAGTTCGGCAAACTCTACTCTATCAGCATTGCCATAACGTCAATCGTGCCGGTGTCAGGCTAAATTCTTTAACCAACAAAACAAATTATTTTGGGTCTTAAATTGTTACATCTCAGTAAGGAAATTATTATTTGATGTAAATATTCAATCAAGGATAATGTTGTAAACAAAGATTCACATGTAAAGTCAGCTTTAGTTATTTCCTTAATAGGAAACGATTATTAAGTGAGCGAAATACATTGTGCCGCCGTCAAAGGAGAGTAATTTCGTTTCATTACCATAGTATGATGCTACACTGAATTCAAATGTCTTGGTGAATTTGGTGCATTAATTTGTGCTCTGATGGTGGTGTCTGTATCAAGAAGGGTTACTCCTTTACATTTCGGTTACAAACGTGTCTACCGTTGAATACGGAGCGAACATGAAAAACTTTCATGAAGTATGTACTCAACCATAGTGCCAATGCCACCGCATTGACAGTTGTCACAAGTGTCTCTTCCATCTTTCTCTCCAAACAGCCATGACAGCTAATTCTTATATTAAGCCTCGATCATAAGACACACGCTTGCGAAAAACCACTCAATCACCAATAGAATTGACGTTTGGGACTTTTCAAAGTGTTGTTCTTATACGTTAATACATTGATACGAGTACAGAACGTTATTCACAGTCACTATCTGATTCATACTACATACTCATTGTTGCGATACTCAAACATTAGTCGCACACGACGAGGAGTACGAAAACTTCCCGAAGAAGCCGATCATCTTTTCAAAATCACGTGACAGAAATATACTTAAGCTTAATCACGTGAACAAAACCTGATCATTTGCCATAATAATATTTTATGTTGACGGAGATTGCTCTATTGAGAAATACTTTTCAATTGCCATGGATAAAACATAGATGCGATCACTACTATTTAAAAAAAAATAGAATTTACACCGAAATAGCGACGATGCTTTTTATTTCAACACACTTCGGACTACCCATTGACTATAGCTATATGCAAAAAGGCACCTTTAAATTTACAGAGCGATTTCGATCCGAACAAGTATTTGACTGTATGATTTGACTCTCGTTGCCCCCAAAGTGTCGAGAACATCTGTGTAATTATCTGACTTAAATAATTAACCATATCCAGAGCGAGGGATATATGACAGAAATTAAAAAAAAAGGTGTGTTTCTTAGCACCACTGTAGTTTGAGATAAACGATCGCATGATAAATGACGGTGGAGACTAACAGAACAAATCTAAGTCAATTAGACTTAAACTGTTTCAGTTAAAAGAGTCAAAATAGTACAAGTTCTTTTTCATTTAATTTCGTGACCATTAAAACTAAGGATTATTACAACTTAAAGTTCTTGATGATATCCAAATGTTATAGTTTTGTTTGAGTTTCTTTTTTAATGTAACTTAAATGATTAATTACATAATTTGGTAAGTTTGAAAAGTTACATCATAAAAACATCGTGAAAGATACGGAAATATGAGAGCTCTGCCCGCAAGCAACGGTGCCTTCAATCACACGAATGCGTAATAATCTTATTCTATGAGTTTCCAAGAAACGCCATCGAACTCCTGAAACTTGCTTTGGAATAATATGCATGCGTATATGCGCACACCTTGCAAGGTGAGCGCGTTACTGGTATTAGATACAGTTCGCGCAATGTTTCACTAGCCCATGATAATCAATTTTGAAGTGGGGAGACATGAGAAGACTTAATTGTTGCCAGCCACATGTTCTTTAAGTGAAGGGCATTTTGCACGGGCGATCTTTAGACTCATCGAAGCGCCCATGTACAATATCTAGGAGGTGCGGTGTCAACCAGAAAGCCACTGGAACCAGATTTGCCATTGCAACCAAAACGTGTCTTTTCCATTTCTCTCTCCAAACGGCCATAACTGCTATATTCTGATAATGAGTTTCGATGGCTAAGGATACGCCGGTCATAAACCATTCAATAACCAGCGCAACTGAGGTATGAATTGCAAATTCCTGCATCAGCTTTAAAAGTGAAATATTTTGTAAGAAGATGAACTGATACAAATACAGGACGCCATTAACAGACACAATAGCAGTCGATTCATAAAGCATGCTTAAAATTACGATATCAGCCATAAGTCTTTCCCGCCGAGGAGTGCGAAAACTTCCCCAAGGAGCTGATTTTCTTTGTAAAATTACATGGAGAATGTGATCGATAAAAACCATAGTGCTTCTCTCTATGACTTCTGCAGCACCATGGACTATCCCAAGAATAGCAATAGACTTGGTGTTATCAAGGTCTGCTTGCAACACTCGAAACATAAACGCTGCTCCAAAATACAACGGCGTAAGCAAGACGAACGAACGTCCTGGATGAGTTACACGCCATAACCGCTGAACGCATATTCGAGAGATCACCTTAAGAACGACCCCGATGAGAGGCGAGAAGATTGCTATAAGTAGCTTTCCTTTCTCATCTTGCTTCCCGTACATTGGGTAAATATAAGATGCTACGAAGATGCCGATTATCATAGAGAAACAGACTGGCAATATCATTTTTAAAAATAAATACCGCCTTTTTGTTAGAGTACGGAATACATTTGTTACGAGATAAGTTTGCCAACATACACTGGAGAGGAAAAGTACGTTCAATGGAATCCTTTGTAACACAGAAAGTTTAGAACGAGATATTCCAAGAAGTTGAAGAGCCACGCGATAAAGTGCATCCAAAGAAAACAGAAGAAAAGCTACAAGGAACAGTTTCCCCTTCAACCCCATTATCTGATATGGTCGAAAAAGTAAGAGCGTACCTTGAAAGAACAACAAGTGCAGGAAAACACAACCTGTGATGGCAGACAAAGTTCTAATCCATTGTAGTTTCTCAGGAATTGTCTCCGTGTCATTATACTGGCAGTTGTTGATAGTTTGATAGCTGACGTAGGTTATCATTATATATAGTGCGCCTATTAAAGCAGCGGTCAACAGTGAAATCAAAGCACCAGTACGTAATGCTTTCCAAAATGTCGAAAGTATGGATGGTCTGAGCCGCTTCCAAGCCATTGAATGATCTTCATCTTGGTTGTTGTCTAATGTCTCTTCGTTTTCTTCAGGTGTGCACGCGTCTATACATCGTACATTAAGACTTGATGAAGGAAGATAAGAAAAACCTGTATCCCTTGTGTCGCTGTATTCTTGAAATATAAATTCATCAAAAGGATGATAATACCATTCTCGACCGGTGCTTTGTAAAGGATCGTAGCCAAAAGATTCCGGTGTAAATTCAGGTTCATCAGGATTGTAATGCTCTGTGACGCCTCGTGTGAAACTATACACGATGTGACCAAAAACTTCTATCAATGTATTGCTACTCATTTTGGAATGATTTACTTTTACAACGAACGTTGAGATACAACAGGAAGGTTTCAACTGACTTTCTATTTCAATTTCAACATTGATATTTTCCCGATTATTTTCCAATTCTAATTGATCTTTCTAATGTGTATAATGTCATTCCTAAAAGTTGGACGTAGATGCGCATAAATATGGAAACTTTCGATGATGCTTTGGACTTTCGATATTTTCTCAACTTTTTTTCTCGGGAGTAAATATTTGGTATCGTGTGCGACATATCTTTGATCACTGACTTAACATCCAAAACATGCACATAAACTATGTCGAAGAGCGATTGATATACTAATTAAAGTCAAAAGGTTTACCCAGTTTTCATCCCAATGCGCAGTTTTTGCAGACAACTGGTAAATGTTGTCACACTACAAAGGAAAATCACTGAAACTCGTTCAACCCATTATTCTCATTTATTTTTAGCAGAAAAGGAAATATCTATATTTGCTTTCACACAGATGTAGCTGGAGGGCATTCTTCATCATTAGCTTAATTCTCGACTGAGAGATCAAGGTTCGTTTGGGAGCAATCATATTCTTAATGATTAGATTGCAATTACCATAAAATAAGATCTGCTTAACCCAGACAACCATAAATTTTCAGATTCATGTCAAACTGAGAGTTAGTTGATAAAGATTATTTATTGTATTCTTCGCGAGCTAATTCATCTTACGGCGGGGGCTGAAGCAGACAATCCAAGATTCTTTTCAGATATAATACGTATGTCAGGACAAATGATTA